TGGCTTGAGAGGCGTCAACTCAAGGAGATGTCCGTATATGTAAATGATTTATGCCCCAAAACACAGTCTTGTACTGGGCAGCGAAAAATTTCCTTTTCTCTCAGATTAACTATATATATATATATATATATATATATATATATATATATATATATATATATATATATATTAACAATTGTAAAAGTATTCTTAGTTTAGCCGACACGTACGCCAATCGGACTTATCAAGGTAAATATCATTTGATAAAATCCGAGTGACGAATCGCATCGGCGAAACAAAGTATAGTTTTCCAATTGTTTATTTATTCATTTTGTCACTTCTACAGATATACTCCATCTGACAATATATATATATATATATATGTGTGTGTGTGTTTGTGTGTGTCTGTGCGTGTGTGTCGAGTTTGTTGTCACTTGAATACAAAAAGTTTTTTTTTTTATTCTCTTTTCGTTAAGTGGGTCACCATCTTGAAAATCCCATTACACACACCTTATCCCTGGTTATAAAACACGGAAACCTTAAGACTGTCAGTATCCAATCATATTGTCACACACATTCCCTCTCATATATAAATCAAATATTTACCAACCTTATTTAACCTGGGGCTGCGCGGTGTATGCTTGCATCATTGAGGAATTATGCAAAGTATGCACTTAGCAGAATCCCCAGTAATCTGTGAGTGTACTGAAGCAATAGACGTTGAGTGACAAGGTTCACCTTGGAAATTTGTTTGCGAGTAATGTATTTGGAACTGTCATATCAAACATTATCAGGAACGGCAACGTGCCAAACAGTATTTTTTGAATCCTGCCAGAGGACGCATATTTTTCTGACAAGATTTCTCGAATATTCAAGCAGGTAGGTGTAGTTGGGTAAAAAATACAATTTAATTAAAAATATGAGTATCCATCCAAAAATAACGTTTAAACTCAATAAATTAAACATAACAATATGTCGGATTTGATCCTGTTCCCTAAAAATAAATTCTCTTTGTTTACGCTAGAATTCGACACAGAGTAGATATGGATGTTTCGAGAATCGTCAGAGAGTGTGGGTTAAAAAGCACTATTCGGGCATTGTTTGACTGGAAGTTCAACTTGGCTGAGCGGTTAGGCACTTCAGATCCAATGACGTTTTTCCATAAAGGACACAGATTCGTATCCTGCCGTATGACGCATATTTTTCTCAGAAGATTTATCAAATATTCAGGCCGGAGTATGGAGTTGGATAAAAAATAGTTTAATTAAAAAACAGAGCCTGTACTCGAATATTCATATATATATATATATATATATATATATATATACACCTATTTTTAAAATATGATTTTCGCTACACAGTTCCTACCATGTTTCAAAAATAGAAAAAAAAACCCTAATTTTAGTTTCACCTAAACGGATCGTCAGGGAAAAAAAATGAACTGTGTTTTTTAAAACCTTTTTTTTTCAATCAATTAATTATAATATTAATCTGAAATTTACATTGATTTATTTTGATTATCTTCTCTGTAAGAACAAAATTTATATCTTACTTTTCTTTCTTTTTATTTATATACATATATATATATATATATATATATATATATATATATATATATATATATATATACACCTAGTGAGCCAGACAAACCTACCTAGGTTTCACCTAAACGGATCGTCAGGAAAGTTTGGCAAAACCTTTTTTTCCTCGAGATTGATTTGATTAGCAAATCAAAAATTCGAGGGTTTTTCGAAAACGAGTCTATTATATATATATATATATATATATATATATATATATATATATATATATATTAAAATTAAATATAAAATATAAATATTAATTTAATTAAAAACATTTTTAATTAAACAGTATTTAATTATTACTTAATATTAAATATTAAAAAGGTATTTAATATTAAGCAGTATATATTTTTAAATTAAACAGTATATATATATATATATATATATATATATATATATATATATATATATATATATATATATATTCATGAATTATTCATACAAAAAAAAAATACAACGGTTAATGATTTAATTGGCGAAAATCCATCTTCGCGAACAATACAAATAATATACAAAAACCCCGAACCTGTTTATGAATGAAAAGATCCTTGTTTTATAAATTTCAGTTGCATAAGGTCTTATTATTTTTACAAGTACAAATACAATTTATTACAATTTCAGTAATAAGAGGACAACGAAAGTAAAAACAAAAACAAAATCTATTCCATACCTGAGGATGTCTGTAGGAACAGACGAAAGCTTGTAAAAATAATAAGACCTTATGCAACTGAAATTTATAAAACAAGGATCTTTTCATTCATAGACAGGTTTGGGGGTTTTGTATATTATTTGAATTGTTCGCAAAGATGAATTTCTCGCCAATTAAATCATTAACATTTTTTTTTTTTTTTTATGAATAATTCATGAATTTGTAAATTAATTTCACCTTTATTGAAATATATATATATATATATATATATATATATATATATATATAT